AGACTCACCTTGGCTGTCGAACTTCATCCAGGCGATGTCGTCCCCCACACACTCGACTTTCCAGCCAGGTAGGGTGGGGCAGAGCATGGCCAGGTTTGTTTTCCCGCAGGCGCTGGGAAAGGCCGCTGCCATGTACTTTTTCTGCCCTGCCGGGTTGGTGATGCCAAGGATCTGAGCAGAAGATTTTTGGTTTGATCAGTACAGAGACGTTGTTCTGATGTCTAATTTTTCAGTCCCGGGAGTTTTCCTCCTTTCCTCACCAGCATATGTTCAGCCAGCCAGCCCTCCTCCTTGGCGATGCGCGAGGCGATGCGCAGGGCAAAGCACTTCTTTCCGAGCAGGGAGTTTCCGCCATAACCGCTGCCAAATGAGATGATTTGTCTGCGGTCTGGGATGTGGGCGACTAGCGTCTGCTCCGGGTTGCAGGGCCAGTTATTCACCAGGGGCTCTGGAAGAACAGCCAGAGAACCGGTCAAACAAATGTCCAAGGCTGCAGCTAACTTTAGCCGAAGTAAGGAGCAGAGATAAGTCTTAATTGTGATCGGTTTGAATATTCAACCTACTTTTGAGAGGCAGGGGGCACCCCACAGAGTGCAGGCAGCGCACAAAGTCTCCACTTCCGAGAGCGGTCAGCACGGCCTTCCCCATTCGGGTCATCACCCTCATGCTGGCCACCACGTAGGGGGAGTCTGTGAGCTCCACGCCGATCTTAGACAGAGGCGAGCCCACTGGACCCATGCTGTAGGGAATCACATACATGGTGCGCCCTGCAGGGACGGAAAGGAGGACGGTTTTAGGGTCATCTCTCAGTTGAGAAACCGCCGGAGATCCTGTGTATTAAGCCATCCGAGCATGTTTTATCTGCATACCTTTCATGCATCCGGGGAATCGCTCAGACATGGCTTTGTCGAACTCTTCCTGGGACATCCAGCGGCCCAGCTGGCTGACCCCACCGTCGGTGGGCGTGGGCACCGTGTCCCTCTGGTTTTGGGTGACGATCACAGTCTTGCTCTCCACTCGGGCCACGTCTCTCGGGTCAGTTCTGGCCAGCCAGCTGCAGGAAGAAACAGGAAAAAGAAGATACCTTTGAGTTTCTTCTTGCTTCCAGTTGAATCAAGTGTTAAAATACACATTTTCTCTCTCACGCTATCGCTGAATTAACTAAAAATGGACAGGTGTCTTTTCTTTCTCAGCTGCCTGGGAGCTGCTGTTAAAACGTTTCTGCCGTGACTCAGCTGGCTGACTCTTCCGGTTTGGCAGACTGTGTACTGTTTCCCAGTCGTGATGTCTATCTAAACAACTGCTGACGACCCGGGTGACGTCATTTGTCATCATCCCCAGCCTTACAGAGCAATCTGCTGACTGTGCACACAGTCCTGGCTACCGAACCAACGCGAGCCCCAGGTGGTCGCCCACAACAGGAGGCTTTGAGTATCCCTTCAAATTGACTGATAGGCCTACCAGTTCTCGTATTTGGCGAGCTTCTTGATCATCCCCTGCTCCTGCAGCTGGGTCAGGATGGTGAGGTTCTCCTCGTCGGAGCCGTCGCAGATGTGCAGCGACTCGGGCTGGCACAGAGTCACGTTGGCCTCCACAAACTCCCTGACCGCCGGGCTGAGGGCGCTGATGTCGCCCTGCAGGACCCTGGGGCCTCTCTGGTTCTGGGACTGGACCTGAGGAGGCATGGCGACGGAGTCTGGAGAGAGGGCGAGTGGATAGACTGAGCGAAAAAAGACGACAGAAAGTCTGGAGTCCAGATGGGGGTGATGGGGGGATAGGTTGAGAGGGGAGAAATCAGCAAGAGTGCAAAAAAAAAGGTAGAAATAGTGGCAAATGGAAAAATGAGAGGAGGGAAATAGAATAATAAGAAAAGAGAAAACAGTTAGTTTTGTACAAACTTCCACAGAGAGCATCGGCTCACTCCACCGATTTGTCTCGGCCACTTTTGGCCTTCTTCACTCATTTCTAACTTCACGCATCTTCTGCCTGACCTGTGCTTTAGTGGTTCAACAGCATCTTCTGTGCAAATCTTCCTTTCTATCCTAAGCGTAAATAATAGCAGAAATAGAGCGGCGAGGCACCGGCTTACCTTCGGGAGTCTGTTTGCAGAAGAGCGCGTTAGCTTGGCCTCATCAGCTGAAGTGCCTCTTCGCTTGTTGTCAAGAGAGATGAGAACTCTTGATGGCTTGTACCTGCTGTGGAGGTTTCTGCTCCTTTTATACCCTGGGATGTCCCTCTCGGGGGAGGGGGGGGAGAGGAGGGATAGGGGTGTGTGAGGAGGTGTGTGCGCAAGTCTCTGTTGTTTCTGGGAGATATGAAGAAGACAGGGTGTTACAGGCTTTCGGTTAATCATTAAACGGGAGCGGGACTCGATCCAAGCTTCACGTAACTGGTTAATTCTGCCGCTGACTGAGTGCTGACGACAAAGCCTCTGCAAATGTACACATTTATGATTCATATTGGCTGACTTTGACAAATATTACCCCAAAAAAAGAAAGAACTTGCCGGAAACTCTCACAAGTCAGTACTTTTGTGGCGAAGTAAAGCTGCATTTGCATGATTTTCTGCCCTCTTTTTCCCCAATCTCCCCCTCCCATTTCTTTTTTTCTGTTAATTTTTCTTCCAATAACTGGAAATTCAATTCAAGCCGAAGAAGAAAGTCCGTTATCAGTAACCTCCAGACCCCCCCCCCCCTCCACCACCAGAAGGAGTTGCGAAAAGCTGAGCTTTGGCCCACATCAGTGAGTGATGTAAGTTCAAGGTTCGCCGCCGTCGTCAGGCCGCGGCAGTGTGACGCGGGCAAATCTGTGGCTGGCCCCCTCTGCATTGGCTGACGGCCGGGGGCTTGTCATGGGGCGTTCAAAGGTCCGT